TATTAAGTAGTCTGGTCACACCTCTTCGCCAAGAGGAGGGAAGGGTCTGGTGACACTGCTAAAGAATTTGTTGCAGAAAGGAATGCAATAATTAGTGGTTATTTTAGTTATTAAATTTTATAATGACATGACTGTCACGTGATAACCTTTCTTTCTGAGGCTTTTCTTGACTTGTAAGCCTCCTTAAGTGAGGAGAGCTACAGTAGTAATAGGCAAGAAGTAATCTATCAAAGTTCTAGTTAATTCAAGGACAACATCTTCGGGATGAAAAACAGAAATCCATATACTTTTTAACCAAATTTCACATGAGATATCTTCATATTCTTCTGCTACTTCCTCTATAGTTAGTTTTTGTTCCTTTGCCAGCAGTCATCGTATTCTGTAGCAGGTTTGACAGTCATGCTTGCAGCCATTTTAAATGGATCATGTGACTAAGTTACTTCCATGTGAGTGCAATAATCTGATTGGTGCGCAAAGTTCGCTGCACAGTGCAACAAATTCTGTAGTAGTGTCACCAGACCCTTCTCTCATTGCAGAAGGGGTGTGACCAGACTACATATTAAGTAGGTGCTTGTAAACATTGAAGGAGTGAGCATGAGCCATTATTGTATGAAGAGACAATTGATTTGACTAACTAGTTACATGTACATCAGCTACATAAAAGTAAAAATACAAAATTCAAAATGAAGCCTTCAAGCATGGATGCATCCTACTCCACCTATTAATAATTTGTCCACATGGTCTAATTAAATTTATTGATTAATGTCCCCAAGAGTATATAATAGTTAGATATAGAGTCTATAGTAGCTTGAAACATGATCGTGTAGACCTTTCTTGCGCATCTTTGGGAATTCCTGCATACTGGGTGTTGCTGAGTAGGAAAAAATGGCTACCGAGATTGCTCAACAAAGTCAACTGGCCGTTTTGGTGTCTCTGCTATAACAATATTGCATACCGTATAACAGGTATATTTTGTCTGGAAATTATTTTTATTTTATTTTCGCTCTGAGCAGCCATTTTGTACACGTCACATTGAGGAAATGCTTTTACG